GGGAGGCCGAGAAGGATGGAGGGGGTGGAAAAGAGGAGAGTGGGAGGTGGAGGCGGCTGGGACAGTGCAGGTCTGATCTCTCCATAGCACATCCCAGTGCTGGAACAGAGCTGCTGGCAGGACAAAGGGACGCTAGGGCTGAGCGGGGCCACGAGATGTTTCCACCCTGTCCGGAAACGGGAGGGAGCAGAAATCCCACAGGAAACCTCGCTCCCATGGAGCTGCTGACCTGACCATGGAGCGCCCCAGCCCTGCCGTCCCACCAGCCAGGTGCATCCCACTGGCACTGCAGGCAAGGAGGGGGGCACTGCAGGGACCCTGCTGTGTCCCAGCCCCCTCCCCTTGCCCTGGGGGGGACAGAAAGGGGGTTCCCACGGGAGGTAGAGCAAACCCAACAGGGCCATACCTGTCTGGAAAGCCCTTGCTGGGATGCTCTTGCCCCTTTTCCAGCCGGTACCCATTGGTGGTCTCCATTCCCGCTGCTACATTGGGGCTCGGCGTTTGGCTGGGGTTCAGGGCCAGGCTGGAGCTCGGTGCCTCTCTCCCAGAGCAGGAGACATTACCTGCAGGCTCCTGGTCCGTCTTGGCCATTGCTGCCCCTCGGGTGTTCATGGACTGAGCCTCTTCTTCCTCCTGCTCTTGTCCAGTGGCTGAGGGCAAGTCCGTGCCCGAGTCAGGGGTGCTGGACATCTCAGGGGACTCAGGGTTGGGGAGCGGGGCTGTCGAGGGGCTTTTGTTGCTGGGGGTCCCTTTCTCCGGGCAGCTCTGGCTACTCTTGGCTTTGTCCAGGCTCTTCCCTGCCTTGCCCAGGTTCAGTCTGGGCATGGTGCCCATGTGGCTGTACATCTCTGACGACCGGGCGTAGGGGCCAGGGCTCTTGGGCATGGTGTTGAGATCATCCTGGGTGCCATCGAATGGCTCCTCCAGGAAGCCGTGGGGAGGAGGGAGACCTGGTCCCAGGCTCTCAGAAGAGCTGGGGGCCACGGGCACACGCCGGAGGGTGAAGGAGCGAGGGATGCTGCTCAGGCTCCCAAAGCCTTTGAACTTGAAAAACTCTGGCAAGGAGAGAGGAGAGATGAGCGTTGGGTTACTGCTGGCACAGTGTGATGGTGGGGGGTCCCAGGGCCCCTGGTCCCATGTTGGGGTGGACATGGGGCACTGTGCTGTGGTGCAGCCTGGTGTCAGCACCATTACATCCCACACCACCAGTCCCAGCCCGGCATGACATCCCTGTGGCCTGGGGTGTATGTGATGCTGCTCGGGGTATCTCTGCCAGGACCCTGGGAGGTCTGTCCTGGTCCCTTGGGGAGCAAACATCCCCTGGCAAATCTAGCAGCTGTGTTTCCCCACTGCAGTTGTAGGGGCAGAGGAAGAAACACTCAGCCCTGGTGAGCAGGCAATGCCAGAAATTATTTCAAATCTCTTCCTCTGACCCTCTGCCTCCCTGCTTCCCCCAGGAAACTCTAGGTAGGGCTGGCAGCTGTGCCCATCCCCATAGCTTTGGGGCAGCCCCACAGGCTATACCCCCTGCCTTCTCCAGGATGAAAGCATGGGACACACCGCATCTCCCCAGGGAATGGGGAGATGTGTCCACGTGTGACGTGTCCACGTGTGCAGGTCCCTCGCCAGCACAGTGGAGCAGGAACTGACCATTGGTGTGTGGTGCGGCAGCGCTTGTGCAGCAGCCCTGGCTGCGGGCAGGAGATAACCTCCCCACTTCCTCGGCTGAGAGCTCAGCCCCTCGCAGCCTGCCTTGCAGCTCCCAGCTGCCACCTGCAAAGTGTTTGCCGGAGAAGTATTTATAACCCTGGCGGGCGGCTTTGCATTTCACACCTCAGCCCCAGCTTGGCTCTGTGTGCTGCTGCGGTGCAAAGCCAGGCCGGTGCTGGTGCCAGCGAGAGGAAGGTGGCACATGGGGCAAAGCAGGTGGAGGCTGCAGCTCTGCAGGGCAGTGGTCACTGGCCAGAGCCCTGGTGCTCTGGGTGCCTCTGGGGGTTTTGCAATGTTTATGCCACCATGAGGCTCTGCAGAGCTTCTTCCCCTCCAGGCATGGTGAGTTTGCCAAGGCAGGAAGCGGCATGCGGTGGTGGTGCTGTGCAAGGAACCGGGCATCCGGGGGCCTCTCGGCTGTTGGACCCCCACCTCCTGCCACCATCCATGGGCCATACAGGGCATCCCCGCAGCCAGACAGGGCAAAGGACTATGCAAGGGGCTGCAGCAGCCCAAAAGCCCTTCTGCATGGCAGAAACCTCATGGCCTGGACATGGTTAAAGGCAAAAGGGTTATACATCCCCTCAGGGTCTGAGCATCCTCCACTGCTGGCCGGATGGGAAAGGCAATGCCAGGGACCTTCCCCATCTCCATGCTGTCCTCCACAAAGGAAAATCCCAGCTGGGATGGGGCTGTGGGTTTTGCCAGTGGAGAGGAGCCAGGGGAGCG